CCATCATACCAAGTGCCTGCATGCACCAGTACCCTCCCTGTATGAAGCATGCAGAGAGTACTTGAGGGAGGCGCTGAGCAAGGCAGGTCCGCAGGTGGCCTTACACTTCACCTTGGACATCTGGAGCAGCCAGGGTGAAGATCATACCTACCTCTCCCTCACAGGGCACTGGTGCAACCAGTCAGGCCATCAGTGGGCTCTCCTTCAAGCCAAGGTGATGAATGAGCCCCACACAGCAACCAAGATCATGGAGGCCATGAACCGCTTGGTGCAGCGGTGGCTCACTGAGCAGGGCGAGCTAACCTGTGAGTTCATGGTCACCAACAATGGGGCCAATATGGTCAAGGTGGTCCGTGATGCCATCATTGTTGGCATCCGCTGTGTGGTACACAAGTTCCACCTCATTGTCAGGGATGCCTTGGAGGGAGATAGGGCTGCCGGTGACAGCGCCAGTGCCACCAGCAAGCTCATTTCCAAATGCAGGAAGGTGGCAGACTACTTCCACCGGAGCATCAAGAGTGGCAAGATGCTGTGGGACAAACAAGCAGAGCTGAATATCCTGCAGCATACCGGATGCTAGAAGGCTGGTTGAGCAGCAGAAGGCCATCTGTGAAATGGCCTTGCTTGGGGAGATTTGGATCAGCAGCCCCCTTAACAGAGATGAGTGGGATACCATCTCCCAGATCTTGGTGGTCCTCATGCCCTTCCTCAAGGCCACTGAGACCCTCAGCACTGGCGATGCCCTCCTTAGCCAGGTGATCCCTATAGTGAGGGAACTTCAGAGCCAAATGGAGAGCTTACAGGGGATCAGTGTTCCTGGCTGAGGCAAGCCACTGTCACCAGATGTGCAGGCACTGGTAATGCAGCTGAAGTTGGGCATCAGGAAATGGCTTGATCCCTTGTGGTCCAGTACAGTCTACGTGCTGGCCATTATGTGTGACCTGAGGGTGAAGGGCAGCGTATGCAGCAGCCAAACTCTGGATCAGTGGACAGAGGTGCTGGTGAAGACAGTCAGGGAGGCAGAATGGCAGAGGTGGGGAGAAGTGAAAGAGGGTAATCCACTGTCCTATACTAGCACATCACCCACCAGCCAGTCTCCTCCTCCACCACAGGCACTGCCAATGTGGGCCAACGGCATGGCTGGGGGAGAACATGTCCCTGCTGACCTTCCGTGCCAGGATGAACTTGGAGGTATGAGCTGGGGCTATGGGGAAGGAGGAGGCCCCAAGTCCTGGGCATGACCACTACATTTGACAGCCTAGTGGCTAAAGCACCCACCATAGACATGAAAAACCCATGTTCAATGCCATTTTCAGCCTGAGGTTTAAGGAACCCCTCTGGGATTGAGGGCACCAGAGTTTCAGTCACTGCTCCAAAGATTGTTTCTGTATTTTAGCCAATGACCGTTTCCTGCAATACGGATGTTTCCTGTAGTCATTTTAGTCAATGATTATTTTATTTCTTATAAAATATATAAACAGTCCTTGAAAAAAACCCAGAACCCAACATGCATGTGACACTCACTGCAGATGCAGGAGTCACAAACAGAAGGCTTTGTTCTGCCTGGTTTAGACCTACAACACTTCATCCATCTCCCCACTGAATGACATGACTATTTTGTTGTAGAAATCTCACAATCTGCTCTGCTGGATCTGTTCTACTTTGTATAAAATATTAAATAATTGTGGGGCCAAAATGAAACCAACTCTAGAGCCGAGTGTGTATGTATTTAATTATATAAAGGGCAACAGCTCCAATTGGAAATTGCATCTAATCTCAGACTACCTAACAACCGGGTGCTTAGGGCACTCAGGTTGTTGGAGATCTAACTTCAACCCCTCAGTTTGAACAAGGCAGAGTAGGCATAAGACCTTATTTCACCTGTGCCCCAAGTGAGTGCAATGAGCTGTCAGCTATTCTTGGGTATACATGTCTTTCTCTTTCAACTTGGAAAGATCTTCATTTTATCCTAATGCGAAACAGATTTTTTTTCAAAATCATTAAAGTTTTCAAGAAACAGGAAAACCATTCCCTCCACCCTGGAAATATTTCCAACACAAATCTAGCTCTGAATTTTGCAGCTTGAGCCCATCACTGTTTTCTGCACATTTTTTTTCCAAAGCTTTACCAAACCAATAAATGTGCGATTGCAATGCATTGCTACTTCCTGCATATTACAACATGTTCTCAAGGATAAGGGGGCTCCAGGGAAAAAGAGTCATTTATTCTGTGAAAACATTCACCATATACCTTGGTAACACTATATTATATGTAACCATTAACTCATTGCTAAATTACAAAGGAATTTGCATGGAATTACTGAGTAAATTGCGTCTTTAGAACCAAATCAGTTCCTCATGGGCTACATTACTATAGTAAAAACAAAAGGGACTTCATAATAAACCATGACCCACCCCATGGAAGCATTTTTATAAATGTACAGGGAAATGATGACAGAACTAAAAAAATAATAATTTAGCATTTCACAGTAGCAAGAATGCTTCTGGTCTAACAAGTTCACTAGTAAACAATTAGCAAAGTGAATAATACAAAAAGCAAGAATTCTTGTGGGTGATATCTTTTACTTGACTGATGTCTCATGGTTAATATGGACATAGATAGACAAGCATGCAGGTACCACAGTACCCTTCTTTGGGTCATCACTTCAATACTGCCAAAATTATTATTTCTGTAACAATTAGGGCTGTCCAGATTTTTTTTTTAAATTAGAGAAAATCCAGAGAGTGATAGTCACTGTAAAATAAGAACCTGAACTCGAAGGCAAAACACGTGTAGAGGACTGTGGCAGAGCAAAGGGTGCTCCTGCCACTTTAAGGTCCGGGTGCTTGATGGCGGCAGCCATTTTGAGGCCTACATAAACCAGGCAGTTGGGCTGCAGGAGGTCAGGCAGCAACATTGCCTGGCCTTAGGGCTGCTGTGAACAATCTGGAGGTAAGGGGGAGCTGCAAGGGGTTGGCAGGAGGCTCCTGGTCCTGGACATGACCTGAAACTGCACCCTGCTGGGAGTGGGTGGTCTGGTGGGGCTCTCAGTGGCGCGGGAGCCCCCAGGAAATGCCAGGCCAGTGATCACCCTGGTGAAAGGTGGGTTGGGGCACCTTAACCCCTAGCCCCCACCACCACCAGGTGGGTGAACCCTGAGTGTGAAGAGGCCTAGAGGCCCAGTGTGAAGAGGGCCTAGAGGGCCAGTGTTTGTGAGGGGCCCAGAGGGGGCAGAGTGGCAGTGATGTGGGCAGGGTGTTGCGGTTGCTCCTAGGAGGAAGGGAGTTGTGGCACGGTGAGGCCCGAGGAGATAGTGAGTGGCTAGACAGACCCAGCCCGAAGGGGATAGTACCCTTGACTGGCACATGCTGGGGCCAGGACCAGTGGGGGTCAAAAGGGCCGGGGGCCCACCGCGAGGGATGCCCAAGAGCCGGGGGCCTGGGGTCCTGACTGGCCTTGAGGTGGGCCAGGGCAAGAGGTCGAAGGTTCCGGGGGAACCACACCCAAGAGGGGAAGATAGCTTTGGGGGGGTGAGGTAGCCCAGGTGACGGCGGAGTGGCTGCCTGTGTAGCGAGGGTCATGGTGGGGTCTTGCGTGGAAGATTCTGGGGCCTAGTGTGGGGCCGGTGAGGAAGAACACCATGATGCCATCTGCGAGGCTTGGGCTGCGGTATTGGGGGAGGTCAGAGCCGCAGAGCGCCCCTTGGCATCGGGGCAGTACGAAGGGCAGCCTCCCACTTAGTTAACAACATAATTGAACTGATTATCATCAAAGGCGTGG